CGTATCGCACTTTTATTATGCAGATAAAATTACAAAAATAGGAAGATATGGTTTGGATCAACCTATTTATTTGTGATTGCAAAATTTTGTTAAGTGTTTGTGTGTAACAAAAAATAACGAATGTTATAGAACCTTGAAATATTGGAATCCTAGAATCTTATAGAATCATAGCATTGTAAAACAGTTATCTTTTTAATAGAATCTTAAAATTTTAATATCTAAGAAATTTAGAATTTTAGAAACTTAAAACTTTAAAATCTAGAAATTTGAATATACGGAAATCTAAAAATCTTGCAATCTTGAAAAATCATAAATTGTTAATAACTTAAAACATTAAAATATTTAAAACTTAAAATCTAAGTATATATTAAAATCTAAAATCTTAAAATCTCAAGATGTAAAAATTTCAAAATCTGAAAAAATCTAAAAATTTCATTTAAATCTCAATATCCTAAAATCATAAAATCCAAAATTATTTATTGATTTAGCGAAAATATAAACTATTTTAGTTCGAATCTCGACTAAAAATATTTTAAATTGTTCATGCCTCGGCTAAAGGGATTTTTATAAAATTTTAACTGATTTTGCTGATTATTTGTTTAGCCAGAGTATAAACTAGCTTTGACTAATATAGCGAAAATTCAAAATATTTGTATTCGAATATCGTCTCAAAAAATTTTAAATGGTTCATGTCCCAGCTTAAGCAACTTTGAGCAAAATTTTTATTAAAATCATTGAATTTCGGTTTAGCCAAGACTCAAACCATTTTTGACTAACCAAAGACTTAAATTATTTTGGTTTCAATCTCGGCTAAAAAATTTTTAAACGGTTTGTATCTAACCTAGAGCGATTTTGGGCAAAATTTTAATCAAAATCGTTGAATTTTAGTTTAACCGAAATTCAAACCACTTTTTATTAAATAAACAAGAACTTAAACCATTTTTGTTTAAATTACGATTGAAAAAAAATTTTAAATGGTTTAAATCTTGAGTAAATACAGCGATATTAGTTAAAATTATACTTAAACCATCTTGTTCCGAATCTCATCTACAAAAATTTAAAATAGTATGTGTCTCGGCTAAAATAATATGTATCTAGGCTAAAACAATTTTTTACAATATTAGCTGAATTTTCATTTAGCCGAAATTCAAGCTATTTTTGTCCAGCTAAGTATGAACTCAAACTTTTTCGGCCCAAATCGCGGCAAAAGAAATTTAAATGATTTTTTCATCGGCTGAAATAATTTTTAACACAATTTTAAGTAAAATTTTGAATAAAATCTTTCACTTTTAATTCAGTTGAAACTCAAACCATTTTTTACTAACCAAGTGAAAACTTAAATCATTTTCGTTTGAATTGGCTAAAAAAAGTCCTAAATAATTAGTTTCGCTAAAGCGATTTTTAGTAAAATATTAAATTGCTGATTTTTTATTTAAACAACATTCAAGTGATTTTCTAATCATTTGGCGGAGACTCGAAACATTTTGATTCAAACCTTGGCTAAAAAAATTTTAATTAGTTCACGTTTTGGTTAAAGTGGGTTTTGGCAAAATTTCAAGTAAAACCGCTTAATTTTGATTAAATCGAGACACAAACTATTTTTGACTAGTTACCAAGTATTTAAATTATTTTATTTCAAATCTCGCCTGAAAAAATGAATTGTATCTCGGTTAAAGCGGTTTTTAGTAAAATATTTAAAATTGCTGGCTCTCGATTTAGATAGAGTCTATACCATTTTTTATTCTCGAATAAATAACACAATATATCATCACCTAGCTAATTTATACGTTAAAGATCTGCAGAAGCCGTAGACATATCCAGAATTGATTTTGAAAGTCTCCTATGTAAAAGTGTAAAATAACATTTCTATATATAAATTTCTATTCCCGCATAACACACTTTATGCAAAGAATATCCTGGGCAAATAAGCCCTTAACAAGTAAGACTTCCTTAGCAAGTAAAACGTTCTGTAGATATCTCTTGGATGTTTCTTGAAGGTATTTGCTGTATGGGTCGATACATACGCTAACGCTCATACGTATCGCTCATCGAACCAAAATCAAAAAGGTTACGTCAAGTTAGTAAAGTAAAGACCAATAATCGATTACCGTTCTTGCGTATCAAGCGATTGTCTCGTTTGTCTATGTATATCGTTGGCCGTATCTTGGAGAGAAATAGCTCTCAAAACTCTCAAGTAACATAGCAGAAAATGTTTAGTAGCTCTTGCAAGTTGACGTCCTGCGTCATTTATGTTACAAGTTGACGCATATCCTGCTTCATGTACTTATATATCACTGGCTCTTTAATATAGTTCATATATGACATATTTCATACATTATCTGATGATTATATAATAAAATTCATGTGATATTTTTTTCCGATCCAGGAAAAATAACATATTCAAAGTTATGTTTTATATACACAGCCATCAAAACCTAGTATCTTTAGTGTATGTCATATATTCTGGTCTGCTTGTTAGAAGGTAACTCAATGACAATAAGTTTCAAAAATTCATAAAATCGGGGACAAAAACACATGGCATCGCTAGTATTTGACGAAAACTTAAAATTGGAATAAAAAACAACTTAAGAACAATTAAATATATAAATCTTTTATTAAAAATATTCATAATTGATAAAAAAAACCATAAAAAAATATTTCTAAAAGTAACACATTCACAATATAGTAGTAAGCATAATGTATTTATAAAAAATTGGGAATTTATATACGCAATTTATCAAAGAAACATAGCAATTATTTTGCACAAGATCTTCAAATCTATCGTGCTCAGAAGTCCCAAAGAGAACAGGTCCCTGTTTCTGAGTCCTCCAAATTTGAATAATCATAAATAGTTACATACGAATTAGGATAACCAATGTCAGTAAGAGACAATAGTCTGCATGGTATATGAGATTTAAAACTATTTGGTGCATTATATTTAGGCTTTTCATTTATAAATTTTTGTATGCTTTTTACGTTCTTTTCCGCTATTAATTTTGACCCGGCAGTTAGAAAATATGGACTTTTTATACGATGTAATTCCAACGCAATAGGTCTCCATGTCCAATGGAATAAATTAAAATCTGCTTGAAACGTTACAATCACATTTGGATGCCGAAACGACGGACCGGACGCATAATCATTGTAAAACATAGAATAAGACTCGAACATATATATCTGCTGACGCTTAATACAATTCTTACAAGTTTGGAGGCAAAAACCTTCTATTTCGAATCTTTTTCCTATTAGTACTATTTTTAAAATCTTAATGCGATGTAAAAGATGCAAGAGAATTTCCCAAGCATACACATATTGTCTCTCAACGATATCTTCCGATATTATATGTACAACGCATTCTTTTACGTTTAAATTATCTAATAATCCGGCTTTCTTCATTCCATCATACAGCGTTAATGGGCGTGATGCGTAATCGGAAAACACATATTCATCAGAAGTCCAGGCTCGAATATTCCTATGATGATAGTTCCGTACATACTCCGTAATAAAATCTTCCATGTTTTCAACAGGTCTCTTATCATCAGGAAATTCAATATATTGTTCCCGATATGAATCCATTGTATATCCAAGTATTCGAAAATTGCGATTTATGATATTTGAGTTGAGATATAATTTCAACGATTGGCATTTTGATGAGTGAGCAGCGGGAAAAAGTTCTGCATGTTTAACACAATAATATTCGGAATAGCATGTTTGACAGGAATGCAAATCATCTTGTCGATAGCACTCATAACATGCTTTTGGGAAAACGATCATCTGGATTTGGTACAACGCTAGGTTGTGTGAGAACTGCATGGATATTTCGTACAAAAACTCATATCTGGAGTGCCTCCATTTATATATGCAAAATATTCTGGAGCGCCAATTCCCTTTGTACTTGTCTAAGACGTATTTTTTTATGGAACTGCAGAATTCCTCATGGCGGCTGCGATCTACTGATAAGTGTAAATTAGAGCAGTAAGAGACCATGTAGCATTGATCACATATTATCAAATCATCATCATTGGTCTTCTTGCAAACGTGGCAAATGTTTGGATGAAAGAAATCATCATGACACATATAATCGTTTGACCATGGATAATATATTATATCTGACAAAAAATCCGTGAAAATGGCCATAAGGATATATTTTATTTCCCTAAAGATAACGAATACTTTATTATAAATTTATTTTGTAAATTATGCGTACGTGAAATATGGTACCTTAGCAGAGAAATTAGATGTTTAACTTTCTTCGCACAGTTCTCAGATATAACTGATCATTGTTCTGAGGAGACTGTTGACTGAGAAAGCTATTTACAAGCTACTTTTGACGTATATGTTCGTATTATAGGACACTGAAAAGGTATTTACAATATTTATTTTCCTAAATGTCATATATATATTGTTGACAAACTGAATTATGTCCGAAAATATAACGACGTATGAGTAACTGTTACCAAATAATGTGTCCCGCATATATACATATATATACGGAGTTCTTTAACAGTTTATTAAATTTATTTTACACTCTAACAGGGAAAAAAAAAAGTAGGAAGAACGAAAAAAACAAGGTTTCAAAGTACTATTACTACAAAAATTGATACAGTAGTTTAGACGATACTTGCCTGAAACAAGTCGAAATAGGCAAATCTTTAGAAATTCTTTTGATTTCGTTCTTAAGAAGCCGTGGACTATCCAACACTAACGTATCGCACTTTTATTATGCAGATAAAATTACAAAAATAGGAAGGTATGGTTTGGATCAACCTATTTATTTGTGATTGCAAAATTTTGTTAAGTGTTTGTGTGTAACAAAAAATAACGAATGTTATAGAACCTTGAAATATTGGAATCCTAGAATCTTATAGAATCATAGCATTGTAAAACAGTTATCTTTTTAATAGAATCTTAAAATAGTTATTTTTTTAATAGAATCTTAAAATTTTAATATCTAAGAAATTTAGAATTTTAGAAACTTAAAACTTTAAAATCTAGAAATTTGAATATACGGGAATCTAAAAATCTTGCAATCTTGAAAAATCATAAATTGTTAATAACTTAAAACATTAAAATATTTAAAACTTAAAATCTAAGTATATATTAAAATCTAAAATCTTAAAATCTCAAGATGTAAAAATTTCAAAATCTGAGAAAATCTAAAAATTTCATATAAAATCTCAATATCCTAAAATCATAAACTCCAAAATTATTTATTGATTTAGCGAAAATATAAACTATTTTAGTTCGAATCTCGACTAAAAATATTTTAAATTGTTCATGTCTCGACTAAAGGGATTTTTATAAAATTTTAACTAATTTTGCTGATTATTGGTTTAGCCTAAGTACAAACTAGCTTTGACTAATATAGCGAAAGTTCAAAATAATTTTATTCGAATATCGTCTCAAAAAATTTTAAATGCTTCATGTCCCGACTTAAGCAACTTTAGGCAAAATTTTTATTAAAATTATTGAATTTCGGTTTAGCCAAGACTCAAACCATTTTTGACTAACCAAAGACTTAAATTATTTTGGTTTAAATCTCGGCTAAAAAATTTTTAAACGGTTTGTGTCTAACCTAAAGCGATTTTGGGCAAAATTTTAATCAAAATCGTTGAATTTTAGTTTAACCGAGATTCAAACCACTTTTTATTATATAAACGAGAATTTAAACCATTTTTGTTTGAATTACAGCTCAAAAAATTTGAAATGGTTTAAATCTTGGGTAAATACAGCAATATTAGTTAAAATTATACTTCAGTACTTCAGTAAATCATCTTGTTTCGAATCTTATCTAAAAAAATTTAAAATAGTATACGTCTTGACTGTATGTACCTCGGCTAAAACGATTCTTTACAAAATTCGTTGAATTTTTATTTAGCCGAGATTCAAGCTATTTTTATCCAACTTAGTATGAACTCAAACTTTTTCGACCCAAATCGCGGCAAAAAAAATTTAAATGATTTTTTCCTCGGCTGAAATAATCTTTAACACAATTTTAAGTAAAATTTTGAATAAATACTTTGTTTTTTATTCAGTTTAAACTCAAACCATTTTTTACTAACTAAGTGAGAACTTAAATTATTTTGGTTTGAATTGGCTAAAAAAAGTCCTAAATGATTTGTTTCGCTAAAGCGATTTTTAGTAAAATATTAAATTATATTGCTGAATCTTTATTCAAGTTATTTAACGAAATTCAAGTGATTATAAATCACTTGGCGGAGACTCAAAACATTTTCATTCAAATCTTGGCTAAAACAATTTTAATTAGTTCACGTTTGGGCTAAAGTGGGTTTTGGCAAAATTTTAAGTAAAACCGCTTAATTTTGATTTAATCGAGACACAAACTATTTTTGACTAGTTACCAAGTATTTAAACAATTTTAATTCAAATCTCGTTTGAAAAAATAAATTGTATCTCGGTTAAAGCGGTTTTTAGTAAAATATTTAAAATTGCTGACTCTCGGTTTAGATAGGGTCTATATCATTTTTTATCCTCGAATAAATAACACAATATATCATCACCTAGCTAATTTATACATTAAAGATCTGCAGAAGACGTAGACATATCTAGAATTGACTTTGAAAGCCTCCTGTGTAAAAGTGTAAAATAACATTTCTATATATAAATTTCTACCCCATATAGCACACTTTATGCAAGGAATATACTGGGCAAGTAAGTCCTTAACAAGTAAGACTTCCTTAGCAAGTAAAACGTCCTGTAAATATATATTGGATGTTTCTTGAAGGTATTTGCTGTATGGGTCGATACATACGCCATACGCTAACACTCATACGTATCGCTGATATGAACCAAAAGCAGGAAGGTTACGTGAAGTTAGTTAGATAAAGACCAACAATCCATTGCCGCCATTGTCTTGCTTGCCTATGTATATCGTTGCCCGTATCTTGGAGAGAAATAGCTCTCAAGACTCTCAAGTAACATAGCGAAAAATGTTTAGTTGCTCTTGCAAGTTGACGTATCCTGCGTCATATACGTTACAAGTTGACGTATATCCTGCTTCATGTACTTATATATCACTGGCACTTTTTTATAATATAGTTCATATATGACATATTTCATACATTATCTGATGATTATATAATAAAATTCATGTGATATTTTTTCCCGATCCAGGAAAAATAACATATTCAAAGTTATGTTTTATATACACAGCCATTAAAACCTAGTATCTTTAGTGTATGTCATATATTCTGGTCTGCTTGTTAGAAGCTTACTCAATGACAATAAGTTTTAAAAATTCATAAAATCGGGGACAAAAACACATGGCATCGCTAGTATTTGACGAAAACTTAAAATTGGAATAAAAAAAACAATTTAAGAACAAATAAATATTTAAATCTTTTATTAAAAATATTCATAATTGATAAAGAAAACCATAAAAAAATATGCCTAAGAGTAACACATTCACAATATATTAGTAAGCATAATGTATTTATAAAAAATTGGGAATTTATATACGCAATTTATCAAAGAAACGTAGCAATTATTTTGCACAAGATCTTCAAATCTATCGTGCTCAGAACTTCCAAGAAGAAGAGGTTACTGTTTCTGATTTCTGAGAATTTAAATTATCATAAATAGTTACATACGAATTAGGATAACCAACGTAATTAGAAGACAATAGTCTGCATGGCATATGAGATTTAAAACTATTTGGTGCATTATATTTAGGCTCTACCTTTATAACTTCTCGTATGTTTTGTACGTTCGCCTCCGCTATTGTTCGTGACCCAGCAGTTAGAAAATATGCACATTTTATGCGCTGTGATTCCAATACGATATTTTTCCATGTCCACTGGAATGAATTAAAATGTGCTTGAAACGTTACAATCACATTTGGATGCCGAAACGACGGACCGGACGCATAATCATTGTAAAACATACAATAAGACTCGAACATATACATCTGGTGGCGCTTAATACAGTTCTTACAAGTTTGAAGGCAAAAACCTTCTATTTTTAATCTTTTTCCTATTAGTACTATTTTTAAACTCTTGATGCGATGTAAAAGATGCAAGAGAATTTCCCAAGCATACACATATTGTCTTTCAACGAAACCTTCCGATATTATATGTACAACGCATTCTTCTACGTTTATAGTATCTAATAATCCGGCTTTCTTCATTCCATCATACAGCGTTAACGGGCGTGATACGTAATCGGAATACACATATTCATCAGCAGTCCAGGCTCGAATGTTCCTATGATGATAGTTCCGTACATACCCCGTAATAAAATTTTCCATGTTTTCAACAGGTCTCTCATCATCAGGAAATTCAATATATTGTTCCCGGTACGAGTGCATTGTATATCCAGGTATATGAAAATCGCGATTTAGGATATTTGAGTTGAGATATAATTTCAACGCCTGGCATTTTGGTGAGTGAAAATCTGAAAAGTGTCTTGCATGTTCAACACAATAATGTTCGGAATAGCACGTTTGACAGGGATGCAAATAATTTTGTTGATGGCACATATAACATGATTTTGCGAAAGTGATCATCTGGATTTCGTACAACGCTAGGTTGTATGAGAACTGCAAGGATATTTCGTGCAAAAACTCATATCTGGACTGAATCCATTGAAACGTGGATAAACGAATGGAGCGCCAATCCCCGCCGTCCTTATTTATTGCGTATTTTTTTATGGAACTGCAGAATTTCTTATGGCAGTTGTAATCTACTAACAAATGTAAATCGGAGCAGTAAGAGATCATGTAGCACCTATCACATATTTTCAAATCACCATCATTGGTCTTCTTGCAAACGTGGCAAACGTTTGGATGAAAGAAATCGCCATAACATATATAACTGCTTGACATTTTTGGAAAATGTATCAGATCTGACAAAAAATCCGTGAAAATGGCCATAAAGATATATTTTGTTTCCCTGGAGATAACGAATACTTTATTATAAATTCATTTTGGAAATTATACGTACGTGAAATATGATACCTTAGTAGAGAAATTAGATGGTTTATTGTCTTCGCACAGTTCTCAGATATAACTGACCATTGTTCTGAGGAGACTGTTCACTGAGGAAGCTATTTACAAGCTACTTTCGATGTATATATTCATATTATAGGACACTGAAAAGGTATTTACAATATTTATTTTCCTAAATGCCATATGTATATTGTTGACAAACTGAATTATGTTCGAAAATATAACGACGTATGAATAACTGTTACCAAATAATGTGTCCCGCATATATACATATATATACGGAGTTCTTTAACAGTTTATTAAATTTATTTTACACTCTAACAGGGAAAAAAAAGTAGGAAGAACGAGAAAAACAAGGTTTCAAAGTACTATTACTAAAAAAATTGATACAATAGTTTAGACGATACTTGCCTGAAACAAGTCGAAATAGGCAAATCTTTAGAAATTCTTTTGATTTCGTTTTTAAGAAGCCGTGGACTATCCAACACTAACGTATCGCGCTTTTATGCAGATAAAATTACAAAAGATAGGAAGATATGGTTCTACCTATTTATTTGTGATTGCAAAATTTTGTTAAGTTTTTGTTTGTAACAAAAATTAATGAATGAATTATAAAAGTTCTAATATTTATATAATATGACGCAAATGCTTCGCCATCACTCAAGCAGCTACAAAGTGTACGTGCGTGTGCGTGTGTACATGTGTATGTGTGTTCAGGAAAATTATAAGTATTAGTAATAGTAAAAAATTCTTAAAGCCTTTCGAGCTTTTTCTTTTGTATGGATTACGACTCAACGACTGAGAAGGGAGCAATGATCGAATGCACAATTAAACCACAATCATCATTTACCATCTATTAATATCCAATGAAGGAAGTGGGATACAATGGGTTTTTCTTTTTCGCTAAGCGTCATCTCCCTTATGTCCCTTATCTAGGAAAAGAAACAGTTATATCGTCGCGGGAGTGGCGGATTCGATCGGAGAGTCTCTCGAGCCAGTCAACATTATTATATATTATATATGTGTATATATATAAAACAATTGTTACACACTAGAGCGAGAGCGCGCAATACAAAACAATGACTCTTCAGGTTGGTTTATTACAATACTTGTCACTTTAAGTTACGCTAACAAAAATATAACTCTCATTACCGGTCAGTATAGTGATCCACACATTCGCATCCGTATATAGTATACAAGTAAAATATCTCTTGCAGTCGCTTACGCATCTAAGGGGCGTCCACCGAGTTGCGCGCTTCGCGGAGACCGTTCAGTTTGTCGTCATGTTTCTTAAGTTTAGAAAAAGTCTATTTTATCGACGGGTTTACGTAGCGATAACAGACACTGATAAAACTACGCGTCGCTAAATCATCCTTATTACAACCGATCATTTTCATTCTAATCAATTAGCTTAGCTATTAAGTAGCCTTTCATAAATACTGCATATCGATTCACCCTCATTTCTCGCGATTAATTAAGTCTCGCAAGGGAAGGTTTGTAAGTTTATCTCGACGACTTTGATGGGCGACTCTTGAATATGTTAAAAATCATTAGAAGACACGTATTTTCTGCTCTTAAGACACATCTAACTGCCATCGAAATCGGTACGAGACACGTTTTCCCATTGGCTGTACGCAATCAACGTGATCACAAGTGACTAGGCTTAAGTAAAAGTGAAAGCTTAATTGTACTAGCGAGTAACATGAGCCACAAGTATATCGTCGGAGAGGAAATATCTCCAACAATCTGAAATCAAAATTCCACTACCGCCTGGCCGCTGCTCGCTTTCGGACAATTTTCGTCGTCGACGATATTTTAACGAAGACCTTGTCGAAATCAAAGTTTTAGGAGGTTCCTTTATGAATAACACGAAGAATCTCCCGAACAACATTGCGACGACTTCATGTCAATCTCACCGTAAACGACGACTCGACAAGAATTCGAGTAGAGAGATTTCTTTCCGAAACTGCGAACTCCGCAGACACCCCATAAGAATATACATACGCATACTATGTGTGTGAATACACATGTGTACATGTACTCACATGTATTTCCAAGTTCGCGATTTGTTTGTTTGTATATTATGTATATGTATATTTCTCTTTTATACACAGATATATATATATATATATATATATATATATATATATATATATATATATATATATATATATATACATACATACATACATATATATATATATATAAGATGTCCTGTTTTCATTTAAACATTATATCTCGAAAACAATTTATTTAAAAAAAAAGTTTCCAACAAAAGAATATTGTAGAATATCGAGGAAGAAAAGATTGTAATTATTTTGTTGATCTTAAAATGATCTTAAAAAATCAACTCCTGACTTATCAAGGTCAACTCTAACTTTTTAATAGAATCATATGGTTTTTAAACATAAATTATGTAATTTCTCTAATCATTCTGCATACAAAAGTACTAGGATGAGATTATCGAAAAGTGTATACTTTAGGAGATATTTCATATTTTATGCTGAAAAGTGTCGAGACAAAAATGTTCATTTTTCGATGATTTTATTCTGATATACTTTTGTATGCAGAATGGTCATAGTAATTTACTTATGCTTAAAAAAACTATAGTGAAACTATGTTTTCACTTAAAAAATTACAATTGACCCCCTTTGACGGAGTTTTTCAAAATCAAAGAAAATCTTTTTCCCCCTCGATATCCTATAACTTTAGTTGGAAATACTTTTTTAAAAATGCATTATTTTCGAGATATTGCAGTATCTAAGTTAAAATGGAACATATCACATATATATATATATATATATATATATATATATATATATATATATATATATATATATATATCCCTTTTAAATGTAGACGTCTGTATATAGAACTACTCTCGTGCCATATTACAACAATACAGACAGATAATCAATGTTTAATGATAATGTTAACTTGCTTAATGCAAGCACCACAGCTAACATAGCATTTGAGCAATACGTAATGCTTCCTCATGTGAAGGATCGGGAGATTGTCGGCACGCAACGTGACGCGCCGCCAACGCAAGGGGCATCGCCGAGAACCAGACAACTCTGTGGCGAGCGGATTTTGCTTAGCGATTCTGCTAAGACAGTCGCTCAACGAAGGAGTGACAGATTTGACGTGCGATCCGCCGTGTGTATTCGGTGATGTCGACAACAAAATTGCGATGGAGGTCGAACAAGATCTACTAAAATAGAATCGACGATTGCGTCTATTCGACTGCAGAGAGTCGATCGTGGATCATTCCCTCTAGAGTTGGCTCGTGAAAAGCGAGGATTTTCATACATGTTCAAGTCAGAAAATCTTCACTATTCAAGCTAGAAGTACATAATTTACTCTAGAGAAAAAGATTCACGATCGACTTCCCGTAGCTTCATTGATACCTTTCTAATTTCAAGTTGCGTGCTTCTTGTACGAACGTCACATGGAACGTTCAAGTCTGAGAATCAGAAAGGTATCTATTTTGAGCCCATGCGTTCAGAATATAGCCCTTGATCATTCAAGCGCGATATTCTGCCTATGATCCGAGTTAATATTTCGCCCATTTGAAAATTCACTTCTGTCTCCTTCGTCGCGCTCAATTCTGTTCTACAGGGTGTCCCTAGCCGCGAATGCAGCAAGATTGTATTTCTCGGCTTGTGTTAATTTCTCACTTACATACTCGATTTGGAAGTTGACCAGAAAACATATCTGTACATTACACGGCAATAAGAATCTCAACAAAAATGCGAGACGATACAATTACGCGTGTATTTATCTAAATATAGACACGCGAGTCAAAAGAACAATTTAATCCGGAGCGCTCGATAATTTACATAAAAAATTTAAGCAACTATTATGTGCTTTACAATCGTGGAAATAAAACTACCATATAAGATAGAGTTGTCAATGAAATCTCTGTTAGAAAAAAAGATTCGCCGCGAGAAATCTACCAACGTTACCAACGTGTGAATCGGGACACCGTGTACATGGAATCCGCGCCCATAGAAAAGATTTATTGTTTTCTAACATCAGTTGTGTGATAGATTTAAGCGTATTAAAATACTCTTGATTATGTCACTCCTATTCCCATAGATGTGATTCGGAGCCGGGACGAATGATCTCTCTTCTCTTTCCTCGATCGACTTTTCTAACTGTTCTCCGTCAAGTATTTCCAGCCATTCGTAGGAATCCCCTGATTTGCAAGAGTAGAAGATCGTGATCGAGAGACAAAGTTATATCTCGTTAAACCTCGACTGATCATCTCAACAGTATCTCGTCTCGGCTCCGAATCCGCGCGTTTTTCTCGTCACACTATTGTCGACAAAGCACCTAGTCATGTCAACGTGATCTCAACACACTCTCTCTTTCTCCCTCCCTCTCTCTCTTCCTCTCTCTTTCTCTCTCTCTCTCTCTCTCTCTCTCTCTCTCTCATATTCTTCACGCGATTAACGTGTTTATTTACATAAAACGCAACGTTATTTACATCGCCCGATACAGGTTTTCTAGGCGTCTATGTAACAAGAGGGAAGTAGCTTCTTTTGTATCACTTATCTTCTAAATATCTCGATGCTTCATCTAACGTAACAATGATGTACACACTCGATCCGACCTTCCTCGGTGAAAAAATGCGCAAAACGTTTCTCTTATATATCGTCATCGCCAGAAAGAGTTCCTGTGATTCCGTCGCAAAGAAAGAAAGAGAGATAAAGTTTCGAGAAAATAATTCTTTAGAACGTCGTCGAATCGATATTGTTACTTGAGTTGTTATAATAACGACTGTAAACAAACGCACTGTTATTTCCGTATAAAAACTTGTACGGAAAGAATTTAGCATGAAAATTATTTCAGAATTTTACGCAATCGAGGAATATATCGATATCTTCTCCCTCAATTTATTACTCTTCCGTTTCATATATGTTATTTATATGTATTTTCGGAACTGAAATACACTCTATACTATGCTATAAACTAAACTATATGGTACTATAAACTATATAACGGTAAAAAACTATATATATAATATATAATATATAATATAAAACTACTAATACCATATATCGTCCACTGTTAAAAAATTTCGAAGAAAACAAGAAAATCATAAATTATAAATAAGAAATATAAGTAAGGAAAGTTCTTATTTACAATCTTGTTCTTATTTTTCCCTCGTTCATTGTGTTTGTTAGCAAAATGAAATTTGCTGGTCGTCTATTCCTGCACTACTGGAAAGCATATAATAAAATTGAAAAGAATTTCTATAAAAAAAAGCTGCAATATAAATATTCTCCCCGTGTACTATCAATCTCGTCTTAATTATTACTCGTTCCATTTCAAACATCTGCACGATAGACTCGATAAAACATCCGTCTCTACCGTTTATCTTCGCGAATAAATAACACTTAATCGTGCCGGTATCGAACCTCTTTCTCGTATACACGCAACTGGAGAAAACGCGATGGCGCGAATGGGTGGAGATCGCGTACAACAATAAGATGCGAAGACGCTTGTAGATTCGCGCCACGCGTGCGAAACACACTCTCTACCTCGCTTAACATCTTCCTATCTCAGTGATACAAGCATCACGCGCGAAGAGAAGTAGCCCTGAAAAAAAACTCGGCGCGGACCTTGCACAGCATTACGTATTACACCTCTCTACAACGTTTTGGCAATGAGTAGAGTACTAACAGATCTTCTTACGCGCTAATTATCTCTAAGCGTCGCTGTGTGTGTATGTGTTTATGTGCTGTGTGTATGTGTCGTGTGTTTGTGTGTATGTCTGTCACAGATAACGTTATATTACTTCTCCTTATTAATAACAACGGGTAGACTCAGGTAACAGTTTCAACAAGTTTCTCTCATTCTCGGCGCATTGTTCTGCCAAACGAAGCTCTCCGCTAATACGTCAATTTATGTACCTTTGCGTCACTCGCGCGGATATCGGGAGAAAGAATATACTTAAAAGTAGAAAGAACAGTAAGTTTACAACGTAAGATGATATTATCGGTTAGCTTCTCTCGTCGTATCAAAAAATGATGCAAAGTATACAAGTGAAAAATCTTGAGTATATGTACATACGCGACGGAAGTCGATTCCGGAATAACGATACGGGGATAATACGGAAGAGGTAGTGATGGATCCGTATATATAACGGAAGAAAACGTATAACTGGAGCTGTACGAGGATTCGCGAAACCGAAGAAAAATGTACAATTCACAGTAACGAGGACCCCCACATGATGCAGGATCCGCGAGACTGAACAAGAAATCTTTTTTAATCTAGTCTTTGTATAGTCTGTCTCATTATGTCGAACCGTATGGATGTAAAATACTAAAGAAGAGGAATGACTGATAAGAACTCCATTGCACTTATTAATGTCCAACAATACGGAATGTCTCATCATTATTGTGATACCTGTGAATGACAGGTTACTGAAGACATTTTGAAATGAAAATCCTAATATGTATATAAAAATGTCGAGACTAGAATTGCTTTGAAATACAAAATGTTAAAAAAAAATTATTAATCCGACTGTTAAAAATTCACGCATTCAGACGATTTATTTAAGAAGTAAGATTTTTACAGTACTATTTTTATTAGCGCAAACTTCACTTTCAATGTATTGAAATCGGAGGACATCATTTTGAACATCTCCTTGACTAAATTTTTTGTCAGAATAAAGTATAAAATATCTCGTAAATCTATTGATTTTTCAACAATTATACTTCTTAGTATTTTTATACATAAAATAAGTAAAGGAATCATATTTATAAAAAAAATCATAATTCCATTTAAAAAAGTGAAGATGACCCTCATATCTTTTTAGCGCTTCCACTTAGAAAAAAAACGTGACCAAAATGTGTTCCCCTTGCCACCCTTCCACTTTCATCTGAATCATTTTTCCGTATCATCAAAAATAATTTATATTTAAGGTGTTCGATTTAAGTGGACCACCCTATATATACAAGATGTATGACGCAACTCGTACATCTGTTCGTTATGGGCAGGTAGAGCTAATCAAATTGAACGAGCAAGTCATGTGCCATTTTGCAAATAACTACGATAATTATTGAGATAACAAAAAAAAGCAGCGAATGAGATAATACAATGGAACGAGTTTTTAGGCAAAGTTTCATCTAATATCTAAATCTGTCAAAAAAATTGTCAATAAATCCAGATATCTTGGACGAAACTTCGTCTAAAAATTTCGTTTTATCACCCTCACAATCTCAAAATCACGCTTTCATTTTTATTATCCAACTTTCTATCGTCAATACCTCAAAAATTATCATGATTGTTGGCAAAATGGTAAAAAACTTTTCCATTCGATTGATTCTACTTGCACACGAGCAAACATACACGTTGCGTCATACGCCTTATGTGTATCGTATAACAAACTATACACACGATGTTCTTTGTTAAGCTATATACAGTTGTGCACTGACAACTACGGAACCTTCCAGTCATTCCTTTTCGCCTCTGGACTCTCCCTGAAGAAATCAACATTTTATTATGTAAAGTATCCAAAAGCAAGATTCCGCGAAGCGAGAATACAAAAGAGCAAATGAGGACAAAGAAAATTAAAGCGGAATGAAAAAAGAATCCGTAAGTTTGAGCGACCGGAATTCCGCGTGACAACCAAGATCCAAGAGATGGGGACCCGCGAGACCATGGATCCACGTGACGAAGAGTGTGAGGTGTGTGTAGGAACGACGTCTACGGCATCGAGGAACTACGGAACGTGGACTAAGGACTCCACGCGATCGGCGTGCACACAAATCTCAAACTATGAACGTCACTGTAATCATGATCCACGACGACGTAGGGGTCTAAACAAGACGACGGCCGTCCAAACGTAAGGTGGACCTACGAAACGAGGAGGGAACTAATCCGCATACGGAACCAGGAGTCGTGATCGTGTCCTTTCCTCGCGAGTTACCGCCGGGACTCGAAGAACGAGCGGCAACGCGCGAATCGTCAGAGTTTCTCGGACGCCGCTGACTGCGAGGATGATGCCGAGGCGTGCGTGGCTGGTGGACCGACGCTCGTAGATCGCTCCAACGGAAAGGGCGGCTTGCCCAAGGGTGGCTGCGAGATTGTACGCTTCGCCGTCCTAAAAGAGCTGTCAATCAGTAAGAATTAGTGAATGAGTCGTGAATTCCCTCTTCGAGACGACCGACGAGAACGTCGACAAATGTAACCCTTTCCGCTCTCGACAGTACAATTTAATTTCTTCAATGGATAGACTGGATCCAAGATAGACTGGATCCTGCGGATAAAAACCTTACTGAAATGATCTCATTCTGTGTAACGTAATTTCGAAATATTAAATCTATTCCTCGTACAATTTTGAAGTTACATGAAATTCCAAATTGCAAAGGCGTTTTCCATTTTCGCTCTGTAAATTTTTAACTTTATTTCTTCAGAGATTTTTGTTGTGATTGGAAAAGGGTTAAGAGTCCCGTCCTCGGAGTCATCTCGGCGAACATTTCATTCCCGGCGTACTCGACATGTCATCATCGAGTCAGCCGACGAATGACAACACGCAAAATGCGATTCTCAGGGGGGACATCACATATTGCATTCTCCCAACTATCCGGACGTCTAATCAAGGTCTATCGATTGTGCGAAACAGAAGCGAATTACAAGTCGATTCTGGAAAATCGTAGAAATATCTGCGTTTACAATCTCTTAAAAGAGAAAAATGTCGGAGACTGTACAAAAATATACAGTAAATACAAATGATAATAAATTAAAAGGCATGGAATGGAAATCCGTTGAAACATTGACAGTGGGTTTTTTTCTTTTCCAGACAGTATCATCTAATTCGCTTCTGTTGTGCAACAACGTGTGCAGTAAGCGGCGGTGATGTCTTTCTTATTCGTCTGTCACATTTGGATGAAAGCGCAATAATGCATTCGTTTCTCCTCTATCATACTTAGGCTGAAAACAATTAACACTTTCACTTGCGTTTGTCAATGCACATTATTCACTTCTGTTGTTGTTGTCGTTGTGTCAATTAGGCTGCTAAAACACATCTTCTTTCGACACCCTATACATAGATAATATCAACAGATGTCTACAGGATGCGGTGAAGAGTATGTAAAACAACCAACTGTTCGTCGAATTTGGAGAAGGTGAGATTTACTTTGACGAATATTTCATTGGAAATCGTAACGTGCAGTATTTTAATTTTTACATTAAATATCCCAACACGATCAATTTCTAAATTAAATTATTTGACGAGGTAATGAAAAAAAATATATATATATTCAATATTTGAAAACTCGATAAATCTCCTCAATTCTTCATGTCTGATAAGTTCAGGGCAGATTTGACAAAAACGAATAATCCAGAGTTCTGATATTTAAATTTCTGGCCTCAAAATTCGACAAAGGAGACATCTTACTTCCCTCTGTTATACATATCTCAGCGTACATCCTGTATAGAATAGTGTGCTTCGCATTGAGATTCAATTCACTTGAACGGACGGAGTGTATACAGATCGCCATTGAAAGCGGATGAATGGAAACAGCACAGCGGGGAAAGCGGCGTGTTTTACATCGTGTTGCTGGAAAGCGTGACGCAGAACATCTCCATAAAGCGTTAATGAATAATGAATCAGATGTATAGAAGACGGAAGACGCCTGTCCGCCCTGCAAATGACAGTGAGACGATTGTTAAAGATTTACACACATAAAAATCCGTTGGTCCTTTCAGATGACGTGGAATTGCGGCGCTAAGCGTTCAACTAAGCGTTACGATTCCGAGCTGTTGAAGCCTTCTCGTTATTCGATAATGTATAAACAATATGTAGTCCTGGCAAGCGCTCCTTTATTAATCGTAAATAATAGAAAATGTACACTGTGTGTGTGTGTGAGAAAGAGAGAGAGAGAGAAAGAGGAGGAAAAAGAAAATATCTAAAAAATAAAAGATATTTTTTCAGAAAGTAATAGTAATACTAATAGTAATTTTTTATTCTAATATAAAATATTATTCAAATAAAAAAATATATATTTTCTTAAGATCTCAGCTTTTCATGAAAGCAATTGTTTTATTCTATTTAAATAAAAAAATTTTAATTTAAGTAAATATGTTATGTATTTATATTCGCTGAATAAATATCTTTTATTTTTTAGATATTTGTTTTCTCAGCATACAATCTTGTTATATTTTTCCCCTCTTCTTGTTATATTTTTTTCCTCAGTATACACTGTTAACACGTTGCCGTGGTGATGGATTTCCGGTGATTGCACGAAAGCTTAACTGATGATTACGTTGTCAAAATCACAGTAAATAAATACAATTCGATGTATCTTTTACGTTTTATTTTTCCATCAGCAGTACAACCAATCTTCTAAGTGCAATTATTTATTTATTATCATGGAGATCATAGTTTTAATATCATAGTTTCTTTTCATATAAATTCTTTTCAATTTTACTATGTCTCTAGTAATGCACACACAGGAATAAACTGTCAGTGAGATTCATCTTGGACCTGATTGACTGAAAACTACAGTATATTCTGCTAGAAGAATAGTAAATTTGTTAATAGTACAATTCTGCTTCTAAAATATAAGTAGCACGTATGAGATGAAATAATCCATTATGACAGAATGCCAGTCTATTATTCGGTTACAAAATAGTAATTTTTGCTATAAAATTCTTTATATTTAAAAAAATTCTTTATATTTAAAAAAACACGATAGTATTATAATAATCGTCACGGCATTCAACGGCCATAATATGGAGAATTGGCACCTTTCGGCAATCGAAGGGAAATCACAGAAATTTCGGACGCGACAAATTCGTGAAGAATCTAGAATTCGCTGCCAGCGCTACAAAGAGGACCACAAGTGGACAAGCGAGAAGGGCGAAACAATCTCTCTTCTAGAGGTAACGCAAAACAGCTATGGGAGTTAATAGTTCGTGGGGGAGAGGGTGGGAGAATGAATTCTAATCGGTGGACCGATCGATCGTCCATCCGATCGACCGATCGACCTTTACAAGCGCGTTGGAAACGAACAAAAAACGTCTTAGTGAGTTGGTTTGAATCTCCCTTACATTTCGGTATTTTACTGATGGCTCTTGTCACGCTCGCTTTCGCTTTCTCAATTAGCGTTCAAACGCTATCGTTTCGTTTCGTCCCGTGGTTCCGCCACCTATGGATGGATGGAATGTCGTGAACGAACCAGAGAACCGCTCGCAGCGACGAGATTGCAATGACGCGCGCGTGAGCGCGCGCACGTGTAATAATGTAGTAGTTGTAGTAGTAGGTGAAGTGTGGAAATTATTAGAATAATTTTCTCTCATCTCTTTATTCATTTTCTTTAATTGTTCTTTTGAATAAGTGCCTTAATAACGAATAATTTCGAGAAATATATTTATAATTTGTTATCGATATTCCTTAGAAGTTTCAAACGGTCAGAGGTTTGTATTACATATTGTATTAACACATACTGTACTTAAATTATATAAGTATAATGACGGATTGTTTCACAGAAATAAACTTTATCCCAAAAATAAATTTTCCAGTATTTTTTCTCAGTGTATATAAATAACCCGCTTTCTTATATAAACAACAATTTACTCTTTTACATACAAAATATGTATCTGTCAAAACAAAAAATATATATATATCAAAATATATATCTTACTATAATCTAATACAATTTATGATATATCCGTCATTATTTATATAATTTAGTCGTCTAATATGTAATACAAATATATAATCATTTTAACGTGTAAAGAATGTTGATAACAACGTATAATATTACTATATATATGTCCTGGTACTTGGCATTTATTGAAAAGAAGATTATTAGAGAAAATAAACAAAGAAATAAAAATTGTTTCAACAATTTTCACATCTCTGTAGTGGTTATAGCGTTGCGCAGCTGCAATGTAATGCATGGTCGAGATGAAAAGGCCGGCGTGATCCTCTAACAGAGATCTCGCGGCGCGCGTTCGCGAAACTTGCGCATTCACATGTAATAATATGATAATAATAATAATCGTGCATGTATATGTACGTGATGTCACATCGTTCGCGATCTATCACATTGTTATTCGTGCTGCCGCGATTTTCTTCTGCGCAAGCAACGACCCCAAGCCCGATCTATCACCGGGGGAGAAATCACTGGTTCTGCGATCGTTCGAATCGACTCGCTGAAAACTGAACTTCACGTGGAAAATCTGCGCTCGATCGACACGCAAAATTCCGCGACACGTACTCTGCAAAACTACCTTAGATAAGTTGACTTCTAATTAAACCGCAATTTAATCTTAAAAATTTAATTAACATTAGAAAAAAAGTCAACTAGAGTGAAATTCAATTCAGACGAGATCTGAATGATAAACGTCGAACTACGTTACAAACCTACGTTTCAAGCAGAGGAACGTTAATTACAATTGCAGATGAAAATACTCTGCAATCGTATGTAAATTTTGAATTCACGTTCCAATTTAGATCGTGACTGAGAGTTCCACGAGAATTCCGTCAGCCGCGAGGAGAACGCAGATGCGAGCGATCAGTGATGGATCTAGCGTTTTGTAACACAAAACACTCATCTAATAAGTCTGTCAAGCGGGACGTGAATGAAAGAAAGAGAGATATAGAGAGACGGCGGTTTACCTTCGTCGCTAAAGTGAGACCGGTTCGTTTCAGGAAGGATAACGAAAACGACTCTATCGCCCGGCATATCTAGACGATCATAGAGCGGATTAACCACAAATCCTGGATATTATGTACTCTAGCCAATAGACAAACAATAAGTTTCGAGCGTAGGATGGCGACAACAGCTTTTTTCGCCGAGTGAAAGATAGAGACAGAGTGATATTTAACTACGCTGAGACAACGCGACATATCCTCATAGCAGGTACCTGCAATCAAGAGACTCGTCAGCGATATCGATCGGATGGGCCCACTACTTTATTGGTTAGACATAGCATGGGACATGGTCGATGTAGCGCGCGTTAAAGGTAGAAAGATTCAGCTGAAGCCATTGATCAGAAAGTGGCTTATTGTCGATTGGATGATGCATCGGGTTTACTCATTGCGACGACCGTGTCGCGTATTCTGTGGCTCAATTTGACATAACGACGGCATCAGCTATCGCCAGAGTATATTCTTCTCATGTAAGAGAGATTAAAGGAGGATCTTATGAGAACGGATCTAATAACAAACGTTATTAGATCCGTCATGAGGGATACTTCGTAGATGCTGATATCATCTCAACGAGTCTGTATAAACAAATAAAAATTGTTAGGACTATTGCACACACATTTGTCTTTGTGTGAAGGTAGATAAAGAGCCGAATTTTACACAATCTTTCTACCGATAAATTCGCGCTGCGACATATGTGAGACTTCGGGAAAAACGGAGAGCGTAGGCGCCGACTTTCGCAGGTTTCAGCTGCTTTCAGACTTTCAGAGGAAATGGCTTACTGCATTTATTTAGTTACGCAAACGTATTTATTACATAGCAGGATGTAGAACTTTGTGCAACTGTCGATTCGATCACAAGTTGAACGAATCCGCAATTGTAAACACGACTTCGCATGAAATGTTCCGTAATGTTTCAATCTAATTTAAATGTGTGCGTTAATTACATTGGTAATGAAGCGTTCAAACTTTGCTTTGAAATTATTCCCTGCAAACTCACAAACTGGGCTATTATAGTACCTCTATTTCTTGATTTAAGCATTTCCAATGAAGAGTACTTATTGTGACTATAAAAGACTTTATAAAATACTATATTCTATGAAATGTCTTTTAATGTGTCTTCATCAGTTTGCAAATTAGACCGGTTGCCAGGCACAGTCGGTGCCTACGCCGTAGAGTAAGTAGTAGACGGTTATAGATAATTACCAATGTGAGTAAGTAAATTGTACGTAGATTATAGGCGTGTGTTAGATGTGAGTAAGGTAGATTTTCCGCTTTAAGTAGACGCTGTTGCGCGCCGGGGAGTTCACCGCTGTGTCGTTACTGGAACATAGCCGGTGCTCGTTTTCACACACACAGAGGACACACACACTTGCCACGGCGAGATGTGGCTATTCCCGCGCGCGAACGCCACACAGGGTGTCCTTGCTCAAGCCTTTCTTGCCTGACCGTAAGAAAAGCACGGCGAGAGCCATTTGCCGCAACGGCGGTGCGCTATTGGATATCAGAATTGAACGATTGTTGTATTTCTTTTTATCAGCGCGTAACAGACGAATTTTCGATTAGCTCTAAATGTGTGAGAGTATAATCAAAGCAAAAACGTTGTGTCGAGTATTCACAAGACCAGCGACAGGACCAGATTCATCAAATGTCTTCTCAGATTTACGTTAACGATCGTTAAACTGACAACATAATTAACATAACTATCGTTAACGTTTAATAAAAGCAGAGGAAACTAAACAATTACCGATGAAAGTTTCTCTAAGAAAGTATCTTTAAATTGTAGCATTCGAAAGTGTTGTCAGGCAACAAAGGGTTAAGACGATAAACCTGTTCTCACGTTGACTGCATCTTTCCCTCGTAGCAGCTTCGAGGGTCAGTTGCGCCAGTGTCGGCTAGCGCGCAAATAATTTAATCAACAAAATTATTATAAAAAACATGAAACTCATCTAAAAGAATTCACTTAATTCATTCGGTCGTTTTGCGATGGTATTTCTGCGGAGATCTGACACAATCTCATTTGAGCGAATTCTTGACTGCTGTTGATAAACCCCTTTTTCGACTTTTACGTGACTTTAAAGTAAATTTTAAGAGCGTAATTTTACAGCGTAAGCGGAAGAGAAAGTGAGAGAACCTCAAGAAAATGAATACAAACACAAAAAACGACAATCATAACCGAGAGCTCGTTTTTCACGTCGCAATTATGCGGTGCAACTGACCCCACGACATAGTAAGAATGCACAATTACGATTGCTTCTGGTGTCACAAACGATAGCAAAGATCCGGCAACAGTGATATCTGACTGTATTCGGCGAAGCATGAAGAGTCGCTCGTTGCGATACTGCTGAAGCGTATCATCGTGTGAACTCACCTCCGTCGGCGCAGGGAAGCGTTTTGTCCCGGCAGGCCAAACTGACCCCTAGGAATCACCATGCGCGCGTTGCCCTGAGCAGGACGCGAGCCTCCGTGTGCCTGCAGCGTGCTCAAATGAGCGGCGTAACCCTCGTGCAATATTGTCGCCAATGTCTGATGCCTCTTGGACGCCTTGCCGATGATGAAGATCTGGCTCGGCTTCAGATTTATCGCCGTGTACACGCTGATATCTTTCTCGCTGCCGTACGCCTGATGGATTACCATACAGTGTTCCTGAAAGACATTCGATCGACCGTCAGTCGACGTGTCATAGTTCTATCACTGTTTGTGTGTTGTACGTGTCAGCTATGTGTGTGTGTGTGTGTGTGTGTGTGTAGGTATATAATTGTAACTATCGCGACTCGCCATTGCACGACGTACCTTCACGAGCTTATTCAGGTACGCGGCTTTGTGAGCGAGTGGATCTCTCGACAGGCCGTCTGCGAACGAGACGAGACCGTGGGGGAAGTTATGCTGCGACAGCCAGGAAACCACCGTCTGCTGTTGCATGTCGGGTCTCGCGGTAATATAGATAATGAGGTAACCCAGTTCTTGCCAATGCCTGCGAATATCAATGATCTTTGTTAATATGATTTTTGCTAAGGAAGAAAAGCATTTGAAACTTGCCAAGGAATATATCTTTTTATGATTGAGATTTGCAAATGTGTGTATGTAATTCATGTAACGATAAAATTAATACTTATGTAATTTCTTGATTCACTAAGAACTAAAGAGTCGGAATAGAATCGTCTTCGCGATACGTCACCTAACAACATCGACGGCACCTGCCCAAACTTTCGGATCCTTGCCGCTCACCGACCTGCTGGCAGCGAAGGAACCGTCTATGCTGAAAACCACGCATTCTGTTCTCGGGGGTATCACCGCCATAAAAAAATCTACAGATGTGTGATCTCCCCTAAAAATATGCGTGCATTTAGTTTCAAAGCCATTTATTAATTATCTAATTAGTCGCATCAATGTACTGGGCCCAATCTACAATAGATGGAGTAAGGAGTAGGAGTAAAACGAAATGGAAATAATTGATTTCGCTTACTCCCTTACTCCAATAAAAGTTTGCCTGTCTACATCACATGAAGTAAGCCTGAATTAAGTAGTAAGAACTGGAGTAAGGAACTGGGGTAAGGGAGTAAGCGAAATAAATTATTCCCATTTCGTCTTACTCCTACTCTTACTCTCTATTGTAGATCGGGCCTTAGCATACGTGGGTATTGATAGCGTTTTTCTTTTCAAACATTCTGAAAACAGGAGAATACGTCACCTTACAACCATCTTCACCGGGTAAAGACCGTAACTTAGCGCTTTGTCGTCTGGTATCTTGTATATTATCCTACCATTTTTGTCAGTTACCTCAGTAGAGAGGTGCGTCCACTCGCCTGCTGGTGCGTCTCGCATAATATGGATATCCACTTTCTCACCTGCAACAGAGAAATAAAAAATTTCTTATTAGTTAAATGTTAAAACGCTCTTGTCTTTATAATTTCAACGACACTAATAAGTACAAATTAAAGATCATCGATGGAATTATTATATAAAATAAATATTAAATTTTTTTAATAAAATGGAGAAAATGCAAACTGATTGTAAAAGTAACTTTTTTCAAATTTCGTATCTTACCTGTTAAAGTTATCATATCAATAGGACTGTACATGAACCTAGCGACTAGTACTTGTGGTGCACCTTCCCTCACGATGACGTCATTCGCTCTGTGATTGGCAGCAACATTCTGTAAAAAATTCATAAAGTAGCAATGAGGAACAAACTTAACACAGCGAGTGTTTGATCAAAATAGTAAGCAATATATTCCAAAAGCTTAATGTTAAGCTTAAGTCGATAAGAAAATATACCTTAAGTTTAACGGAGGTACGCTTTTTATTCCACTTCTCTCTGGGTTGACCTGGACGGAAGCAAGTGAGGTCTTTCTCATCATTGCCGAGCAATTGCAAGTCGAATCTGCCCAATTGTCTCAGGATGAACGCGATCACGTCCGAAGATTCCCAATAACTAGCGTGAAAGAGATGCGGCAAGGCGTTCGTAGGAAAATTAGCGAGACCCTCTGGACAGTAGAGTGCGTAATCCAGTCTCTTGGTGCCCCACCACTTCTGCGTCACTGAAACAAACATGTTGGATGGAGAAAAACATTTACTCAGAAGAAATATCTAGCCTACCGTGAACTTTGTACACTATTATTTTCTCTAATCCTTAGATAAATAATCAATTTCTAAGATATTAAATGTTTAACTGACAAAATTTTATATAAAATATGTAGAAATATATAGAATTTTATATAAAATATATAGAAAGTGACAAAACAATGTTCAGGGAGTCACTTTGGATTTATGGTCTAGAGTTATTCAGGATTAATAATTTCTAAGCAGTTTCTTTTGAACAATTAAATATGGCGGAGTTTCGCAAGCGGACACAAAAGTATACGTCTCGACACGGTAAATAATTTCTACTTACGAGCAGACACCGCCTGCAAAGGAACACTATCGATAATACCCGACATCGTGCTTTGAAGCGATATATCGGATAGTCTTCTTAAATGCGACAGTTGAACATTGGGAACATTCAGTCCGTCAGCGAACAGCTGCGGATTAGTCTGGATGGTTTCCACTGAAATCAGATTTACTATCTACGCTTATGCATTATACGTTACAGCGATGAGCGTACACGAGGGAACGAAGAGGTTACAGACACACGCGACTCGCAATTGCTTCAGACTTACGCAAGTGATAAGGCTGGCCATTGCCGAGCGGATACTTTTGATATCGAGCAATATTGATCGGTGGAATCAGCGAGAATCTCGCCGAGATCAAAGGCTCCAATCTCGCGGCTACGGGATCCGTGGGATGGAACAGATTGTACACTTGATTGACCAACGGCCTGGGGATGAAGCTGTTTTTATCACCGGACGCGGCGATCTTCCTGTAAGCCAGAACCAAAGCGAGCGGACTGCCGAACGTGAAGAAGTCGCCCACCTCGAAGTCCAGCTTGTTGTGATGCGGATTGTCACTACGAATTGCACAATCAGCCGAGTTAAATAATTGCAAATCTTCACTTGCTAAAAGTTGACTTCGTAGAAATATAAATCGCTGCGCAGGAATATCTTTTCATTCAAATTTTTTAACCCAAACACTCTATTTCCCGAATAAATAAATATGACTACCTTGTGCCAGAAGATCTTCTTCTGGGAGACGGCGCGGACAGATGTTTGCCATCTTCGGTGCTCCCGCCGTTTTCATTATTCTGATTGCTGGTTTCCAGTATGCTGTTCTCGCTGCTGTGCCGCGAATGCTGCGTCGCTCTGCACAGAGCGTCGTAGGTCAGGATCGAGCCCACGGAGTCGCCCACGAAGCAAATCTGCCCGGAGAAACCCTTGCCCTCGTCGCTTTTGATGAAGTCGTGATACACCTGATTAGCGCCCATCACAACGCGCGAGACAGCATCCTGATAGTCCGAGCTCGAGCTCGCCAATAGCGGTATCGCGCCGATCGGAATGGTGTCGTGCGTGATTTGAGGAGCGTCCATGCACGATGGCGACACGTCGAAGCTGTACGGACTCAGACTGTGCAAGAAAATTGCATCAAATTATATTATATAAATCAATTATGTATAAAATATACAGATGAGAGAGACAGAGAGACACGTACTGTGTGTGTGTTCTTTTCGTTAATTTCTATTATAATCAGAAGTCTTGTTACATTCCAATCTCAAAATTGAGTTGACTAGCGCGTTGATTTCCATCGATTGCACAAAAGCGTAATTGATGATTGAGTTACGGCAAATCAATGCAATTCGAGACGCATACATATCTTTTGCCTCATTTCGTTGGCTCTCTATCGACCGTGCAGCCGGTTCGTCAAATGCAATTAACTTAATTGCAATTAATTTTGTACGTAATTTAATTAGACGCGGTAGTATCATACCAATCGCAATAAGATCGAACAAAGTCCCCTTGCAGTTTCACATTGTAACAGTAAAATCGGTCATTACAACGAGATTCATTAAAATCATCCTGAAATATCAGATTGTCGGGCCGATATGGCGGTCGAGCTCACCATAATGGCGTACGAAGATACAGAAAGCAGTGTGTAGTATTACCTTGACAAAATTCCAAGACCCTCGGTGCAGATGGAAGGGCAGGAGACGAACTTAATGCAGACGTGGCCGACCATACTGGGATAATGCTGTCTCATGACGGACTCGAAAGCTCCACGGAATGTCATAATGTCCGACTTCTTCGCCGTTAAATCGACATTCGCATCTAAAACAGGAAAGCACAGATTTTAGATAGATTATCTAATGATCATTTCAACGATTAATTAATTTTACTTACAATACGGTCGACCATCTAAAATAACTTTGCTAGCAATTCTCGGGTTTACTACTACCGTGCGGACGTCGATATTATAGGGAATCGAGTTAGCTTTGTAGTATATTCGCCAATACAATGTGTACTTTTCAGGGGAGACTACAAGAGGGATTCTTCGCGCAACGGAGAATCTTAATTGAATTTGGCCGAGTTCCCCTCCCGTTAGATCAGCCGTCCACCCTCGTTTCAATCGCTGATATTCCCTTTGATGAATCTTTGATTGCCCGGAGACTTGTGTTGAATTCCACCCTCTTCATTTTTAATGAAAGGATTTACAGGTAAACCCTCGGCACATCGACGAGTCCTCCTCTGTCACCCGTCATCGCAGACGTCACTCTTCGGCGCTCGGGATCGAGCGGGATCGAGAGGGGCCTCCCGTGATTCTTCCTCTTTACGTTAAACACGTGAAGCAATCGATAACAGAGAAGAACGCGTAGATTGTGAGAGGCACTTTATAATTCGCTGAATCCTGCCATTGAAGATAAAGAGGGTGCGATTGAACGCAAATCACAGGGCGACCAGAATTCAAGCGAGTTAATTGAATTGGAATGATCGATCATCGAGACGAGAAGAAGGGGCTCGAGCGATCAGACGCGGATAGATAGCCGGATTACTTTACATGTAAATGATATTTTCCTCCCGCGAGATGAAGAGAGACACTCACCTAAAACACTACCGGCGTGCACCACGATGATCAGCACAGTGATCTTGCACGGCTGATGTGTAGGAGAGTGCTGAGGGGACGCTGGACACGACACGTCGATACTGGTCGACGAGCAGATCTGTAGTCTCTTGCTGTTTCGCTCGCTGGCGACGCGCTGCAGGTACGAAGGCGAAAATATTGTGTCCTCTGGAAATGAAAAAAAAGCGAAACAGTCTCTCTCGTCACGGTTTTCCGTGTTGCACGAACAAAAAGAGATCGCTCGCGAATTCGCGCACCGATGTTGTACCATATTACATCTCTCCTCATTTCGCTTTGAATCTCCTCCCCCCCCCCCCCCCCCC